ACAAATTTGTTATATTTTTATTATACAAATTTTCACGTTGCTTAACTTAATGTTTCTTTTTTTTATCACTAAGACTGATTTCCAGATAATCTGCAATTAAGACATTACTTTTGACAAGTAACAATGAAGTTTATTAAAAAAATAAACACCATCATCAATTGTAATTGTCTAAGTTTGTTCCATATTTGTTCAGGAATCGCGAGATGAATGTTGGTAGTTCAGTAATGGTATCATTTAGGAAAGCAAGAGGTATGGTATTGAGCCCTTTGTAAAAAGTCATTTAATTCTGGATTATCTTTGATCCCAGTAAACTGAACCTTAGAGTCTCTGGTGCTTATCTGCATTGATGACAAATTTTCTTAGCCTCCACTCCACAAATCTTTAGATGTCTTCTGAGTCAGCTTTGGTCCATGGATCTGTGAGTACTACAATGAGTAATTGGAGTTTGGTTCCCTTCAGGTAAAATAGCCACTTTGTTCTAGAGGTGCTTTGTAGTGTTTAGTGTCTTGCTTTGTCCCTTCAACCACTTGAGCAAAAATGATTCTTAAGTAATGAACTTTGAAGTTAACAATACCATCTTATATATAATATAGTAACAGCCAGTTAGACTTACAGAATTTTTAAAAGCTTTAAAATCAGGCCTGGTCTTAGCTTCTTTTTGGATATATGTCATATTGGAAATTTTTTCCTCTATAAGAAAATTCAACCACATTAAAAATTTGCTGCAGCGAATAATTAACTTCTTTAAGTATCACTTTAATTATCTTGGTGGTCTGCACTTGTTATCTCTCCATAAATCTTCGCAAAATAATAGTTTTCACATTTTTAAAAATTTTCTAATCTAGTGTAACTTACTAAAAAAATTTGGTTACAGTTGTCACTCTCCTTCTTCAAATCTTCTAAAATACTATACCCTTTAATATTGTGTTGTATCGGTTTCAACGAAATATATATATTGTATAATAGTGATAGTATTCATATTTTATATGATGAGTGATATGGAAAAGAATTAGTATATATATAGATTCAAGTATAATTAAGTGCTATGTCCAAAAAAGGATTGATGAGTATCCCATGTATCAAGCAACCGTATATAGTAGGGCAGCACTGCTTTAAATAAAGTGTTTCTCTCTCTTATTCTCCATACTGTAAGTCTTAAAACATTTTTCCATATCATGTATGGAAACTTTATATTTTTTTATGGTGATCTTTGATTTGACTCATACTTTTTTTTTTTATTACTTCAAGAATTCATATTTTGAGACTTTTTTTAAGTAATTCCGAATGATTGTAAATAAAAGTGGTTATAAGTTGTGTATATTTTGGTTTTGTTGAAGTATTGAGTATATTTTCACTTATAATGAACTATGTTAATTTCTAATGTATATTATAAATACTTTAGATAGTTCAGAAACAAAGCATTTAAGTTTATACATAATAGTGTAGTGTGGGTTAAGAGTGCACTCAATTTTATATCCATCTTTATAATATCTATCTTTATTTTTGAATTTAAATTTTTCCTGTTTTTATTTAAATGTTCCTGAGATAATTAAGTATTAAATATTTTGAAGAACTGGATTCTAATGAGGCGGAACATGTTCTAAATTTTTTAGATCCACTTACCACTTTAATAAAAAAAAAACAGACAGATTAACTCCTATAAAACTGTACAACAGAAATACGAAAATCTGAATTAATCAACTTGTTGGAATTAATTTTGTTTACAACTTATTATATTTCACTTTTAGAGAACCCTCATGGCTAATTTTTGACACATTATTTTTCAGAGTTCATATTACATAAAGCGCAATTCATATCAGTTCTGATTTTGTCACATCATCTAGTTTTATACACAGGTTCTGTCCGGGTAAGGTCCGCAAAAATTGACCAATAAAGAAAAATAGCTGTCAACTTACTCAATTGTACACCCTCACTAGAAATTTGTTTCACCCAAGTCTAAGATATCTAGTTCCCTCCTATGCCCCATATTAGTACAAGTATCTTGAAACACTACAATTTTTTCACATTATTTAGTTATTAGAGTTATGAGAGCATAAACAAACAATTCTTAATTCAGAATATTAATAAAAAAAAATATTCTAAGCCATACTATTTTAAACAGAGCAGAGAAATGCATTTAAATAAATTATATATTTAGATACTCAAATAAATATATTTCAAATACTTATATTTAGCAGAAAACTACTACATACAAATTGAATATACAAAGTTATTTTTTAAAGAGTATTAGACAAAAAGCCTTTATCAGGCAAGAGTATTTGTGACACAACTCTGTCAAATGTTCTGTTCATGAAGATATTGTAAAAATAACTTGTTTTGGGTTATTGCATTCCTTTTTATTTTCTGTTTGATCTAGCACTATTAACTGTCAAAAATAATCGATAATGCCAATAATTTGTGTACAGTTTGTTTTTCATGAGACAATACTTTTAGAATTAATAGAAAAAATTGGAAGAACTGGTTTTTTTAATTGAAAAAAAAAACTGTTTGTACATAAAATATGTTTTTCAATAGATAAAAGTTATTGTATGGAAATAGAAAATTAATTTTTTTATATATTATACAATAATTATCAAATTAAAAAAAAGATATATTTTTTATTTCTCAATGCCAGTTTTGTTATACTGTTATTGGCTTATTACAAAAAAAAAAAAAGCCAACCATCAAGACAACTTTTTTTGTAGGTACATCTCTATATTCTTAATGATTATATCCCATATAACTGGATATGCTTAATATCGGATAACTAACTGTCTTGGCTCCTATTTAGACCAAGTTGCAAAAATACTCCTTGCCTTTTAATTATTTTTTGTTATTGATTGTATGGGTTAAATCTTTTATCTCTTCAATATCATAAAAGTTGACATTACAAATAAAAATTGAAAAAAGAAAATCAAATAAAATAAAAAAAAAGACAAATTTTAAGTTGTTAATTAAGATTGATACCAATCAAACAGTTTTATCCGTTATACTTTATAACATCTAGAAGCTTTCAGTATGTTGCACTATATTCGCCTAAAAAGATTTAAAATATAATAAACTATACAAATAACAATTTGATATAATAATAATTACATTTAGCTGTGTCACAAAAACTGTTGTGTGATGAAGGCTTTTTGTCTAATATTCTTTAAAAAATAACTTTCTAAACTCTATTTTTATGTTGTAATTTTCTTCTAAATATAAATATTTGAAATATATTTATAAATATTTATTTGAATATCTAAATATATAATTTATTTAAATGCATCTAAAATAGTATGGCTTAGAATATTTTTTATCAATATACTAAATTCAGGGTTGTTTGGTTATGCTCTCGTTATTCTAAACAATATACTCAGGTACTCACATCACTCATGATTTAGCAGATTCTGTCCTATTAGTTAGGCTTTTGGGAATCCTTCCATACTTTTGAATAGCTGTAATGGTAAATTGTCAATTTTTGAGATCTCTGAGATCTTGATTTAGAATGCCTGGCTTATCTAGTGGTTCTCAGATCCACATCTTGCTAGTTTTTGGGTTTCTATAGTTTAGATGACCCAGAAATGTTTTTTCTTACTAATTGTTTCTTATATTTGGATATATTTAGCTTGCAATCCTTTCTCTTACATTTACTTGTGATTTATCTTGTATTTTATTCTTTTTGTCTAATATCATGCGATTGACTCTTATATAATACTGCATTGAGAGTTTTATTTAGTAACTGGTTATTTAGTCAGAAATCCTACTGTTGCTTCTTTTATGAGATTCGCACTTTTTTGAATATCTTCATATTGGTTTTGTCTGTTCTCTGTTGTTTTTATTGACTTCAATATTTTATTTGCTATCTGTAAAGCTTTTTGAATCCTATTTTAATATCTTGTATTATAATTAAGAGCATGGGTCTGTTTTCAATGTTCATTCATCTCACATGAAATGCTGCACAAATATTTGATGTAATGTTAAACAATTTTTTACTATGAGCTTAATTTCACTAATTTATTAGTATTCAAATGACTAAAAAAATGTTAATTATTTTAAATATGATAAATGTAACTGTAATTGAAATAATAAATAGAGTTAAAGGTACTTTTAAAAAGTAATTATATATTAATTTGATTAAACATTAAATATATTAATTTTACCTTTAGAAATATCTTATTTCTGATGCATATTAGAATAAATATATTCAGTAATTTTACTTATTGATAGGGATTTCTGAGACTGGAAAAACAACTATATCACTCAAAATTTCTTTTATTTCCAGATGTTAAATTTAACAATAGAATTGAAATCTAACATGAGTATAGGATACTATTATTTTTATTTATTTATTAATTCTACTATACTATTATATTTATTTAGTCATACATTTTTTAAATAACAGAAGTAAATCTTTTTTTTATTTATTGGTAAGAGTAATTGCTTACATAATTAATTTAACTTCCCTTTCTGTACCTTATATAAGTTGCAAATGTTTTATTTCACCTTGTTCATCTATTTTTAATTTTTTTATTACTATAGTTGTTCTTAGATATTAATTTTAGTTTCTCATTATGTAATTGATCTTTTAACCAGAAGTAATCTTTATTTTTGTTATTCTTAATCGACTTTGTCCCAGAATAAAGTAGATTTTTCTATTTCTATTTCATCTAGGACAGTTCTCTTTTTACTCAACCAAACCAAGAGATGATATGGGCAGACATCCAAAATTTTTGGAATTAAAAAAATAGTTGGAGTGGTGAAGTTGTTTTTAATGATCTCAGAAATCTCTAGCTGACTACTTATCTCCACCTTATATGTTACTATCTTATATAAAAATGTATTACTTATTAATTATCTTTAAAATTATGTGATGATTTCACAATTGACATTAATTGATTTTTATTTGGTTTTTATTTATCATTTATTTTTTTTCTCTAAGCAAATAGGATTTTGATATTGATTTAATATTTTACATTCGTTCAATTTTTATATTTCTTTTATCCCGTATATTTTAGGGTAATGTCGCAGATGAGGAGGCCGAGAGACGGGAAATAGAGCGTAGAATTAGGCAACAAATGAAAGAAGCAGAAGAAGATTCTAAATGGCTCACTGAAGGAGAAGCTTCGCTGGTCAGTAGAAAGTGTAAAAAATTTTTATTTTTAATAAAAAAAAGTTTGGATTGATTTAGTATTTGGGGAATATCTGTGATTAATAGTTAATTTTGTTTTCATCCATAACTCATAAAAAGTTCCAAATTTAAAATTATTATTTACTGCTCTGGATATCGATGTCTTCATGTTGACTTTGTTTCTCCTGGATCTCCTTTGAAGATTAGCTTTTAAAAGACTGATAAGCTTCAAATGTCGATCCTTTTTGAAACCAAAAAAAGCTGTAACCACACCCTTTGACATGTTTAAATTTAATGTAATGCCCTTTGGCCTTCGAAATGCCCTGAGCTCTTTTTTGCTATTCATCAAAAAAGTGTTTTATGGCCTGAACTTCGTGTCGCCATATCTGGATGACTGCCTAATAGATTTAGGTTCGGAGAAGAAGCATCAATATCACCTTAAACTAGTTTTTGACTGTCTTGAAAAATATGGACTTCACATTAATGTTGCAAAGTTGGAATTAGGTGTGCAAAAACTGCTGTTCCTTGGCTCCCTGATTACACCTGATGGTACTAAGCCATTGCCTGATCAATTACAAGCTATTTTGGATTTTAAACTCCCTGAAACTATTGCTGGACTTTGTTGATTCCTCGCTATGATTAATTTTTATAGAAGTTAATTTTTATTAATGAAGCTTCTAAGATTCAAGCTATTCTCTATCTAAAGGATAATCAAAAAATTTCTTGGACCCCTGAGACCCCTTTCCAAATTGAGGAATGCAAAACCGACTAGTGGATGCAACAATGCTCTACTCCAGCACAGACTTACCTTTGGCTCTTGTGATGCCAGTGACTTTCCTATTGGAGGAGTAGTGAAAGAACTAGAGGATGGCAACTGGAAACCACTAGCTTTCTTTTTTAAGAAATTATAAAGTGCAGAAAGAACCTACGGTACTATCATAATATGGAATCGCTTGGCATCTACGAATCAGTCAAGCATTTCAGGTCCACCCTTGAAGGAAGGCAGTATATTTTATATATATATATATATATATATATATATATATATATATATATATATATATATATATATATATATATATTATCACCCACTGATTTACATCTTCAAGCAAACAAATAAATAAGCTACTTGTTACAACTACGCCACTTACAATATGTTTCAGAATATTCCACCGATGTTAGACAAACTGAAAATGGTTGCTGATAAACTTTCAAGAATTGAATCTATCAGCACCATCGATATGGATAAAGTTGCAAAAGCCCAAACCAGTGATCCTGAGCTTTTGGCACTGAAGAATGGTAAAATATACCTACAACTTAAATCTTATCAACTGCCAAGTAGCAGCAGTTTGTGGTTTGACATTTCTACCAAATCTATGAGACCTTACATACCTTAAACATTTTATCTATTTTTTTTTTACAGATTCACAATTTAAATCACCCAAAAAAGTAAAAGTCACTGTTAAACAAGTTGGTGCTCATTTTGTTTGGCCAGATCTTAACAAAGAGGTTCGTGATTTGGCAAAATCATATGTAGTTTGCGAAAAGTCTAAAGTAATAAGACACTCCAAATCACCATTTAGAATATTTCAGCCTCCAGATGTGAGATTTTCCATTGTACACATCGACCTCATTGGTCCGTTACCTCCTTCAAATGGTAATACCTATCTACTATAGACCATTGGATTCAAGCCATACCTTCTTCTTTTGCATCACCCTGTAGTGCCTTTCAGTGTAGGGGAGCGTCTAACCAGGATTGCCAATTTTCCCTGTTTAAGCCATACCACTTGCTGAAATTACTGCACTTTTCTTCTTTCTCTTCCTCTTCGAGCCTATTGACCTCTGAATCAATAATACTCCTCTGTCGTTGATTGGTCCAACTAAAATAAGTGTTGAAGTGAATTATAGAATCTTTAGAAATACAATCAATGTATTATATACATTGCATATGATCATGTACATAATAATAATAATAACGAAGAGAGGAGAAATAATGAAGGATGAAGGCTTGGAACTCATTAACAATGAAACAATAATACTTCTAGGCAATTCAAACTCATTTAAATATTTAGGTTTTGGTCAACTTTTGAAACTTAAGAAAAATAATAAAAATTATCTTAAAGAAGAATTCAAAAGAAGAATAAAAAACTCAAAACATACTTGTGATCTCATAATTTAACTAAAGCAATACATGGGCTACTCCAGTGCTGACTTATTCCTTTGGTATTCTAAAGTGGTCTAATATGGAGTTCGAAGAAATGGATCGCTTAGTGAGTGTTCTTTTTATGTCAGTAAGAAAACGAAACCCAAAATCTTCAATTGAGATTATGTACTTGCCTCATAAGCAAGGAGGAAGGGGGCTTGTCTTTTTATTAAAATGCTGCAGAGAACAAGAAAATAATTGAAGATACTCTTTTATACACTGTAACTCTCCTATATGGTCAGCAATAAGGTCACTGGACAATGGCTACACTGCCTTAAACTTGATTTGAGCAGAGCTCAAAGGTGTTCCTACAGAAGAGACTCTGATAGAAAGATAGAACAATAAAGTACTACATGGTTGCTTTTACAATTCTATTTCTCAATCGGAAATTAAAAGGATGTTTCTATTAATTGGCTTAAATATGAATTGAAGGAAAAAAATTAATTGAAAATGTATGTCAAATTTAATTAAAGTACATGATAAATTGATATTGTAACATTATAACCTGCTACCTTCAAAGGAACAAATTCTATGTATGCAAAACAGTATTATAAGATCTGACAAGGCTAATTGACTTACATAGGCTTTCTGCCTTTCCATTTTAGCTATTATCATATAAATACTACATATGAACACCCACAAATCAATATTTATGAGAACACTGATACACTTCTAAGGATATTGCAACAAACTTGATACTTTCCAAGAGATTTATTGTTTTCCAGAACTGACACTCTTTCTAAAACTTGTGGAGTGAGGAAATGTATTTCCACCCACTAAATATTTATTGAGTCGCCCATAGATAATAATAAAACAACAAGTTATTGTACGGTAACACCACCGTTACCTTCTACAAATGAATCATTCCAGTTGAGTGGAGAAAACTAATGTTCTCAATAATTTTTTTCTTTTTTAGCTTTTAACCTACCTCTTAAATATTCAGAAAATAGTTTGAAACAAGAAGTTTCATTTCACTTGATTTTATTTAGGTATAAGTATAATAATAACAAAAATAAGGGAACTGTAGAGTATAAGAAAGAAAGAAAGTGAATTTTATTCTGGGACATTTACTCCCCTCAGAATAACTGCAATGAACAATAAAATAACAATTGTAAATTAATTTACAAAGTTGTCTAAGTCTAATATTAAAATAAAGATAAGACACTGTAGTAGATATATGATCTTGAAGTAGACATATGAGTGAGTTCACATATTTGTACAAATAAGCAATATGGCACATACATAGATATCTGCGAGATATCAATAAAATGTATCTGACATCTCTAAAGTACAAAATAACTTTATTTTTATATATATTCGGAAGAAGGATACTGAGGTGATGGAAAAATAAACAGTGTTTAAATGAGGTCAAAGATGAGGATTTCCATCCTCAGAGTTTGGTAGAGAATTCCAAAACAAGGTGGCAGGGGATTTGAGGGTTGGCATCTTGTGTTAAACAAATGAACAGAGGAACAAGGAGTAAAAAAAATCAGGAAGGTTTTTTGGTTGTAAAGGTTCGGAAAAGGAATACACCTAGGAAATATTGCCGTCGGAAAACTGGATTGAGTCACTTCAACTTGGCATAGCAACTGGTGACGTGGGAGCCCCTGGGGACTCCAAGGGATGTCTATGCTGACGACCAAGAATCTCAGGTACTATTTATGAGTAGCAAGAGCTATTAACAGAATGTAAGGCTTTTGAGAAATCAAAGAGAACCAGGACAGAGATTTTCTGTTTGTCTGTTGAGAATTGAAGGTTTTAATGACTTTTTTTTAAGTAGATGGAAAACATGATTTTTTAAAGGAAAAATTATAGATAAACAAAAGGATAGGAAAGATCACATGAAGATATAGTTAGACTAACTTCTGATTCAAACTATGATATTTATCATGACTATGTATGTTTATTTTTACTCATGGATTTTGTTATTTTCACCACTTGATAATATATTATACAGTAAACTGAACATGTGATTTTTTACCTTTTATTTATAACCATCCCATCTTCAGCATAAGATTTTACTTAGATTTTAATAACACTTTTTCAGAAAAAAAGACTTTCGTTGGCTGCATCTGATGGTGACTCCGTAGAAAGCTGTGGAAGTGGTCCTAGCAGTGCTACCAATTCACTAAGAAGATCACACGACAAGATAGTGGTTGTAAAAGTGAGTCTTATGTAAATTTAAATTTTTAAAATATTTACTACAATATCAAAACTAAAATTTTGATTTATTTCTAGTCAGCTTGGAACATTATAGGCATATTTTATACTGTACCTTTTAATGAAAAAAAGAGAGTCACTGTAACCAGGTTGAGAATAAACTTACAAACTTGACCAATTCATACCTTATCAGTAAACAGCCAAAATTAAAATACTTACAATGATAATTAAGAAACAGATTTTCATAATATGCTGGTGCATATAATTTTCTCCTTATTTTTTTCAAAAACAAGTCGTTAACTTTACATAATAAGTTATTTTAATTCTTTTGACGAATTCTTATACTGCTTATGTTCGCATATTTATACAAAATTTGTGTATATTTAGGCATAACAACATATTTTAGCCATATTTTGAATAATTGAGTTAATTCATTCTTGCTTCATATGAAGGAATAATGTTTTACTTTAAATAAAGTAAAAGTAGTTATTCACCCAGCTGAAAGGTTTGAATTAGCTTTGTAGCAGAACTATGAAATTCTACTGATCCCGGGTCTAACCACCCTTCTTATTAGAACCAAGTATTTTTTTAATTCCCTTCCTTATTGATCCATATTCTACCTTAATGGCCTACCTATTCACTCCCATACTTCCGTTAGAAAACTAGGGTTAATCTTTAATCAACACGTTTCCTGCAATAATCATATTTCTCATATATGAAAATCTGTTGCTAACCTTAAACAGTTCCTGAAATTCTGTGATTCCATCTCTCTCCATTAATTAATCCATCGGCTTTTAGTTTCTAGTTTCATTTTTCCAACTTCAATTATGGCTGCCTTGTATATGGTGGACTGTCTAGTGGGATTTGAATTGAATTGAATTGAAGAGACTAATGAATTGCTTCATTAGATTCATCTTTAGTACAGTGGCTTAATAATACAGTGTTGTCATATGGATGGAGTGTCCATATTGGATCCGCGGGAAACTAATATTTGAATAGTCTCTCTTTGTTATTTCAATTTGAAAAGTAATTATTGTTACAAACTATTAACTAGAATGGTTTGGGAGATAGAATTGAAGTTAGGGAAGTTGATTGAAGCATATGAATCACTCATATCACGTGAAAATAAATAACAAAAGCAAAGAAGAATATTTAATATTTTCTATTTAACTTCTTTTAAAATATATTTCAATAAACTTCGCCATAATGCGATTTCCATTTTATTCTACTAATTCTCTCATTGGCAAATTTCACAAACTAATTTATATAATTATTAAAAAATAAAAAAAATACTGAGTGAAAATTAACTTTCACTTTGTAAAACCAGAAACTCAATTCTAAGTAAGCAACCATGAAACTATTTTTATTTTTATTCTTAATATTCTCCTTTGAAAAAATCAAAACTTTAAATAAATGTGAATTATTTAATATAAATTTAATAAATATAAATTATTTAATGTAAATTTATTAAATAAATTATTTAATGTAAACTTAATAAATATAAATTATTTAATTGAATCTTTAATAGTTGACCGTTGCATTATAAAGGAAAGAGATGGTCTGGGGTGGTGGTCATAAATAGGCTAAATAGTGGCAAAACTATTTTATTAACGTTTCGACCTGACTGTGCAGTTCTTCTTCTGGGCTAGAACAGACAAGATACAAAAAGATAGAGACTTGTGGAAGTTACATAATATTTAGACAAAAAATTATAAACAATGTGAATAAGCTTATTAAAATTAAAAACAGTAAGTGCATTAACATATAAACAGAAATATAAGACTGTAAGGATAAAATACAATAAACTATCAATTGATTGAAGAAATATCCAATTTAACTGGAAAAAGAAAACATTTTTAATCAACAAAGGAATTTAAATCTATAAATGCTGCACATATACATTTACAGATTTAGAAAAAAAAATAGAAAAATCATCTTTATTCTGGGACTAGGTCCCTTTAGAATAACAGTATTGTTCATATATATTAACTACAAATCTGGTCAAAAGACTTATTACAATGAATAATGACAAAATACATGTAATAAATTAAGTATTAATTAAGCTCTTAGGATAAATTAACGAGGACAGTTTGGTAATAGGGGTTCAGTACTACAATATTGGAGCTAAAATAATTGCATAATAATCACTGAATGAAATTATAAAGGAAAGTAAAATCTATTTTATAGGTAAAGCATTGTAGTGATGAAATATAAAAATTTTAAAAAATAATAATAACTGTTAATATGTAGGGAAAGAAATTGTAAAAACTAAAACAAAAAAATATATAAAAAAACAAATAATGATATACATATGTTCCCTAAGATATTTAAGTGATTATGAGTAAAGATTAGGAGAAGAGAAAATAAAATAAAGTATATATATACACATAGCGAGAAGTATGTTGAAGATAATTAGAAATAAAATACATTTCACTGAAATACATTCCATGAATAACAAATTAGAACTTAAGGAAAACAAATTTTATCTACTCACAATGCTTAGTGAGTGGTGATGAAAATTCACGTTCAACACAGAATAAAACAATAAAAAATAAGAGAAAAAAAATAATGTCTAAAGAAAATTAAATCCTTATAACATAGTATGTATTTAACCAGCGTCTGATTGGATTGTGAAGAGGAATTGGAATAAGAGGGTTTTAAAGGTGGATAAGGATGATGCATGGCGGATTTTTAGTGGGATGGAATTCCAGAATGCAGTGGAACGGACAACGAAGGAATGTTTAAATGATGCAGATCTGTGGAAAGGAGTGTAAAGGTCAGAAGGACGAGATCTTGTGGAGAGGGTGTGGATAGATGATTTGAATTGTAGGAGATTGTATGCGTAGGACGGACGATGACTATTGATTATTTGGTAAAGGAATGTGCCTAGGAAATATTGTCTTCGGAAGGAAGGGAAGAGCCATCCTAATTCAGCATAGTGGTGCGAAACACGGGAATACCTCAGGGCCCCTGTGACAAATCTTACGAAGGCATTCATAATTCTTTTCAGTCTCTCCCCGAGTTCTGCCGAGAGGCCACCGTACACCACGCAGCCGTAATCAAGGTGGGGGAAGATGAGGGAAGTTACTAGGAGTCTACGTGTGGAGATGGGTAGGAGATGGCGGAAGCGATGGAATAGTTTCAAGGTACCAATTGACTGTCGGGTAATGTGAGCAATATGGTGTTTCCAGGATAGGGTTTGGTCTATGAAAATGCCTAGGTTTTTTACTGAGGAGGTGAAGGTAATGGGATGGTCATTTAGGTACAGTATAGGTATGTTGGTATTGGCTCTGAGAAGGGGTTTGGAACCAATGACAATGGCTTGAGTTTTTGCAGCGTTTAACCTTAACCCATTTAAGTTTGCCCAGGCACTGATCCGATTCAAGTCTTCTTGAATTTTGGCAAACGCTTCATGCAACTCTGAGGGATGGAAGGAAAGGTAGATTTGGGAGTCATCGGCGTAAAGGTGATGGGAGCAGTGAAGGATTGAATTATGGATGTCATTGATATAAGAACTAAAAAGGAGGGGAGATATGCTAGAGCCCTGGGCCACTCCTGCGGACAAAGTAAGATAGGAAGACAAGGGTTGATTAGGAATAGCGACAGCTTGTGAGCGTTGGGAAAGGAATGATTGAAACCATAGGATAGAACTATGGGAAAAGGATAATGATTTTAATTTGGAAAAGAGAATGGAGTGGTTGATGGAATCAAAGGCTTTGGAAAAGTCAATGAGTATAAGGACGGTTAGTTTTTTGTCATCAATGGCGGACTGAACATCATTAATGATTTTGATTAGGGCGGATTGTGTGGAATAACCTGGTCGGAAACCAGATTGGTAAAGGTCAAGTTGATTGGACTGTTCAAGGAAGGTGGAAACTTGGGATTGCACAATTCTCTCCAGGGGTTTGGAAAGGTTAGAAAGGATTGAGATTGGCCGGAAATCTTCAGGGGAAGACGGATTAGAATTTTTATTTAAAGGACGGACTGTGGCTTTTTTCCACAAGGAAGGGAATACTGAATTTTGAAGGGAAAAATTGTAGATGAAAAGGAGTACCGGAAGGATTTCAGGGAGGCATAATTTAATTAATTTGACGGGAATGCCATCTGGACCAATAGAATTAGAGTGTGATTTCATCACGGCGGATATGAGGTCTGTGGGAGAAATATCTGAAAAATAAAAATCGGCGTCATTGAAAGATGTTCCAGGAGGAAAGAAGGAAGGGAGAAATGAAGGAGTTGAAGAGGAAGCAGATATAAAATAAGAATTTAAGTCATTTGATGAAACTGGGGGCACTGCAGAGGGAGGAGATCTGGTAGGATCACAAAGAGAGAGTTTACGAAGGAGTAGCCATTTGGATTTGGAATCAGGAGCTGAGGAAAGGGCTTCATGGAAATAGGTAGATTTGGCTCGTCGGATTGTGGATTGTGTCAGGTTGCGGAGCGCCCTGAACGCTTGATAGTCGTCAGGCAATCTAGTGCGTCTAAAGCGTCTCCGGGCTGCATCACGCCTCTTCTGAAGATCCTTAATTTTCTGACACATCCAGGGAGCAGGAAGGCGACGAAAGGTGGAGGTTTTGAGAGGGGCATGGTCATCAAGGATATTAATAAGATTGGAGGTGAGAATGTCAACCATGGAATCAATTGAGGTACAGGAATATATTATATTCCAATCTAGGGATTCTAGGGAAGGTAAGATTTTTTCCCGAGTAAGGCCATTGAGGTTCCGGAAAGTTACCGTTCTCGGTAGGATCGGAGGGGTTTGGATATTATAGGATATTTGGATTAGGTCATGCGACGATAAAAAAGAAACTGGTAATTGGGAAGAGGAAAGGAGGTTTTGAGCGGAATCAATAATGTACAGGTCCAACCAAGTGTCGGACCTTGCGGTGTGATGCGTAGCAGAAAAAGGAACGATAAAAAGATGAAGGGAGAAAAAAAGGTTTTCTAGGTATGATTTGTCGCTGGAGTCGGAGAGGAAATTGGTGTTTAAGTCACCGGAAATGA